AACAAAGAAGAGCACTTATAATAATGAAGAAGTTGGATCTGCTTCTTCTGCTTCTTTTTAATGACAAGATGAGCCAACAAGTTATTTTAAGATTTCTACAAGCAATTATAGAACTGAGGCAGTATCTTCTCCATAAAAGATAACATGTTATACAAACTGCTTTAGGATTTGACGAGCAGCTAAGAAAGAATAATAAGTTTTTCTTTTCTTAATTGAATAATCACTAGAACAAGGATGAATTATCTTTATACTCAGATAGTCGCTGTAGTCAAACACCACCTGTTGCTCCCACATTGTATTCACTTGTGTGTTAAGCAAGTACAATGGCTGTCACTTTCAATTAGTAATCTTGAATATTTGATATTCAAAGGACAGAACATGACAAAAAAGGAATGAAATGAATCTTTGGGACTAGGAAATTAGCATTCCTGATTCAAACGCAAGAACGTATTTTAAAAAATGAACTTCATACATAGATTACCTTTGCAATTGGCCTCTGTCAAATAAATCCTGATGTTTTTATGTACATGAAAGCTAGAATATGCACACAGTTTTAAAAATCTCAGTCATTGCCAAGCAAATTAAACGTTAACTCTGTTCCCAACTCACCCCCCCCCATTGCCATTACAACTCAAAATTCCATACAATTCACTTGCACTATTCTATCAATGAAGGGTTAGCTACTTAAGTACCAGTATATATGTCTCACTCCTTTTCCCTGTTGATCAACTCACACATTCCTCATCAAGTCCTGACAGTTATGTGGCCAAAGCTCCTTTATGTCAGATATTTGGGCTAAAAGCTTCTCAGCAATAAAAGCTGCAGACAATTCTAGAGCCAATAAACCCTATTTAATGCCAGCATTAAAAATATATACCCTACTGATCATACAGTGGTACCTTGGTTCTCAAACTTAATCCGTTCCGGAAATCCGTTCCAAAACCAAAGTGTTCCAAAACCAAGGAGCGCTTTCCATAGAAAGTAATGCAAAATGGATTAATGCATTCCAGACTTTTAAAAACAACCCCTAAAACAGCAATTTGATGTTAATTTTACAACCTAACGGGACCACTGATCCATAAAATGAAAGCAGTAATCAATGTACTGTACTATAAAATAAATAAGACAGTATTGTAGATGATTAAAAATTAAAATTAATTTTTTCTTACCTGCACTGATGATAGTTATTGTTTGGATGGGGGGGGCTTTTATCCCTTTCTTCACACAATCAATCAATCAGTAGCTGAACTGCATTCCACACAGTCACAAAAACAAATTAACTGAAAATGCCTCAAAAACAAAAACGCAAAATAAATAGCAAAAACAAAAGTGCCAAACTTAATCCATTCCAGAAGTCCATTTGACTTCTGAAATGTTCAAAAACCAAGGCGCAGCTTCTGATTGGTGCAGATGCTCTGGAAACAATAGCCGACAGCTGCATCGGATGTTCGGCTTCTGAAAAACATTCGAAAACCGGAACACTTACTTCTGGGTTTTCAGCGTTTGAGAACCAAGGCGTTTGAGTACCAAGGTACCACTGTGTATACTTACTATGTATGCTGTTAAGGTGAAGCTAGAGGTCTTATGATATTTGCCAACAATGGTGGATTTCAGGCAGTGCTTCTGGCACAACTGGACACCATGACAGATGGCAGAGCACATGGAAACGCCATTTATCTTCCTGCTGCATCGGTACCTATTTATCTACTTGCACTGGTGTGCTTTCGAACTGCTAGGTTGGCAGAAGCTGGGACAAAGCAACAGGAGCTTACTCTATAGCATGGATTCAAACTGCCAACCTTCTGATTGGCAAGCCCAAGAGACTCAATGGTTTAGACCACAGCACCACCTACTCCCTTCCTTCCAATAATGACTGTATGGATCTTATCACTCATTTGCCCCTTATCAGATGGGATCAACAAGCAAAATGAGTATCTTGTAAACTTTCCCCCTCTTATGCATTTCAGACTCCCATATTCATTGTCTATTATTTTCATTACCTTTCTTACCATAGTGAATGCAATCTCTTCCATCTCTAAATCTCTTCCCATCTAAAGCTCTGTTATACAATAAAACATTCAATTCGGCACTGAGGAAAGATGCGTGCCTTAATATATAAAAACAGTCAACAAAAAGCACTTAAGTAATAAAGGTCCCTTTATATATATATATAAATGGAAAACTTATCAGAAAAATACCACCATGCATGATTACACAATCTGATTTATCAAGCATAGTGCCAGACATGGATTTCTCACTTTTTTGAGAGAGATAGAGGGCTGGGGGAAGAAGGTAAATAGCCTTATATTGGTAATGCCAAAAATAAGGAATGGAGAACCTCTGCTTATTGTTGGACTCCAATTCCCAGCAGTACCAGGGATGATGGGAGTTGGAGTCTGTGGCGATCACACACAGGGCCCCCGGACGTTTATTGACCCTGTGCCACCACTGCATTTGCTTTTTCTGCTGCCACCACCCCGTATCTCACGGGCACACACAGAGTCCAGTCAGTTGTTAACATTAACAAATAATCAAGTTTATTTTTAAATGCAGGAACAAGCTTAAGGTTACAGTTAATTTTACTTGGCAGTTTCTTATTCTTAGTTCCTAACAACTCCAAACTGATTATTCCAACTATCTATCTGACTCCACCTAACAATTCCTCTCTCTCTCTCTCACAATACAACTCTACCAACCCACTGCCTATTCCTCCCTCTTTCTTCTTCAACTCCCAAACCTCAACTCCCAACTCTCAAACCTCAACTCAACTCAACCTCAACTTCCTTTTATTCCCCCCTTGCATTTTCACCAGCCAATCACATCACACCCATTTTAACCCTTTCCTTATGACCCACCTAGGAGGCAAACGCCACAGAGTCCAATAACATTACATATACAATTGATCTGTATATTACAAATCAAATGATATTACAATTGATTCTATTGCAACAAGTAATCAAAAGTAATGATTTACATCTTTATTTTTAGTCACATTTCCTTAGTCAAGCAAATTTTCAGGCACACACTTTTGAAGCAAATCTAGTACCCAAGCTTTAGCTAAAGCATTAGTATTATTTATTTGTCAGTGATAACAATGCTTAGAGAGCATTATTATTATTATTATTATTATTATTATTATTATTATTATTATGTTTGTATACTGTCCTATATCCACAGGTCTCAAGGTGGTCGCAACATAAAATCACAATATAAAAAGACAAAATACACACACAAAAAAGAATAAAAACAAAAACAGTCCAATAAGGCATTGGATGGCAGCCAGCCAAGTGTTGGAACGATTAAGAAATATTTAAACTGGCTTTGCAACATGTATTTTGCACACAGATCGAAAGTTGTGACATAATTTAATGCAGAACAGGTAAGAGTGTTGAAAACATAGTTCTGATTCAAGTGAAGAAGCATCTTTTCAAAATGACGCTTGATGAATTAGACTAGGCTTTCCCTACTTACAATGGGACTCGCTTGTCTGGAATGAAGTTCAGAATTTTGAAGATTTACCACTGAATGCCTATAGAGATTTCACAGATAATAATAAAAAAGGCATAATTCAAATCACTAAGTGGCGCAGCACTGCGAGGAAATAAAGGTAACACTTTTCAGAGCAGGGAGAAAAGCAGAGTCTTTCATTAGGTAACTTGTCATTAGGAGCCACTGGGCTCCGAGGAACTCAAATGAATTTTTATTGCTGTAAAATAAATTTCCAGATAAAAAGCCATTAATTAATGTGCAACAGCTAAGATCGCATCATTAAACCATTACATGGACACAGTGTTCCGATCTGGAATATCACAGCTCAACTCTTCCTTTTTGATAGTTAGAAGTGGACAATAAACCTCACAAATTCATGAGAGCAAATGTCAGGAGCCTCTGTGTTGCCTTTGCTGTCAAAATCCAGCCATTCCTGGGAAATTCAGACGCTCTCTTCTCTCTTTCTTTGTTCAGAGCAAGAACAGGGAGGGGGTGGCCCAGGAAGGGCTCTGGGGCAGGACAGTGAAGCCTGGGGGGTTGTATTTTGCCCCTGGATCTGTGGTTCCCCATCCCTGCACTAAGAAAAAACCCTTTTTCCTTTGTAAACTCAACTGAATGAATCCTCTTTTTAAAAAAATACCATGCACCTATTTATCGAGAATGCTTTCTCACTGGCAGATTCACATTATGGATCTCCTTGCCACTGGAAAGAATCGAACCCTGCTGTGAAGCATCCTGGCATAGGATGATAAATAACACATCATTTTAATACAGTCGTAGCTTGGGAACCAAATGCCTTGGCATTCATACGCTTTGGCTCCAGAACGCTGCAAACCCAGAAGTGAGTGTTCCGGTTTGCAGACGTTCTTTTGGAACCCAAATGTCCGGCACGGTTTCCGTGGCTTCCGATTGGCTGCCAATCAGAAGCCGCACCTTGGTTTCCGAACATTTTGGAAGTCAAACGGACTTCCGGAACAGATTCCGTTCAATTTACTAGATACAATGATATTCGAGACATCTTATTCTACCAACTTTTGTGATATTGGTGGAGTTTTGTTTCGCTTTGAATATGGCATCACAAACTACCCAGACACTTCAGAACAGAGACTGGATTAAAGCCCACACACTGGTTGCTGCATAGAGATTGTCTCGGATGCGGCGTAAGCTTGAGGTAATAACTTTATCTTTGTGTCTCAAACTCTCACCAAAATAAAAGGCTTCCAATAGTCAGCATTAAACAACAGTGGAAGCTTAAAATCAGCAATTAACACCAGGTTGTCTTTTACCCATTGAAAGGTCTGTCTTTAGCTTCTTACCCTTGTATGGTAACAGAAAGTCAAATTGCAAACATAGAATACTTAAAGCGTATGTATCACCAAGGTCGCAAATAAAGGGTAGTTTCACTTGGTTAAAAACTGATCAACATTCAGGAGGTTCAGCTCCCCAAAAGCCTCCAGTCATCATGCCCTTTATAAGCATCTTAAACTCTTGAAAATTATGTGAGCGCTTACCCTTCCTAGCTCCTTATCTTCCAGTGCCAGAACCCCGGTACATTCTGTGAAAAGTTTCACTTTGACGACAGGCCGTGGATGTGTGGTGGTGAAATCCCCTTGAGTTCCCCATCTGCAACAAAATAAATGACAATATTCAAATTCCAAATGCATTAAAAAGCAAGCGTTGTGGCGGCGGCAATCTCTCGAGGCCCCTGTAAGCAAGCACAGCATTTCTACTTCCCTACAGAGTTGCTACCTCCATCTGAAAACTCAAGTTCCCAAGATGGAAGAGCTTTCGCAATTCTCCTATATTGGTTCTGTAATTAAAAATCATCCAATGTGGCAGATGGCATAATGAAAGATTAACTATATTCGGGGAGTTTGTAGCACGAAGCAGATGGACTTCTACAAATTTATGTTTGGGTAAGTTTGTATTTGTCCCATTAAAATAAACTGAAGGTGGTTAAGATTAATGGTATGGCACTGAACTTGCTTTTCAAGCTTCTTATACAATTGTCTAGTGCAACCCAAGTGTGTTCTTAACTCAGGATCCTGGCAAACAGTACATGTGGGCTAATAGTGGCATAATGCATTAATGATCCTATGTGCACACAGCAGATTCCACAGCACAGGAGTTGAAGAATCAAATTATCTGCATTTGCTGTTGATCTCCATGCAAGGAGAAAACCGCCTGCCAGATCATCCCTGGAGGACTCCCCCCCCCCAACTGATAGGCAGCAGCTGGCCTGGAGGCCGGACTTTTTGGGGTGGTAGATGGGGAGATCAAAGAAACAATCAAAATGTATAGGTTGACGTGGTGAGGGACTTCTGGGCTAGGGTGATGATTCCTGTTCTTAAAACTGCTGAGCATTGTTTTGTTTTATTGTTAGTGGGCTGTGGGAGTTTTGTACTGCTGTTATGGTGGGCTTTTTGGAGGGGCTACATGTTGTACAGAACATTAACATCTTATAACATATCACAGAATCACAGAATGGTAGATCTGGAAGAGACCACGGGGGTCTAATTGAACCCCCTGAACTGCAGACATCTTTTGCCTGAAGTGGGGCTCGAAGCCACAACCCTGAAATTAAGAGTCCCAAACTCTACCAACAGAGCTATCCCAGTGGTGTAATACATTTATTAAGTCGCTTGGAGAACCTTTAGATATTCCCACAATGTCCCTGGCCAAGTTGGCACCCCTCCCCCCACCCATCATGACACAACACACTGTGGATGTGTCCACATTTCATGCAAACATAAGGCACAGAGATGCCTGAAATACTCTTTGATGACACCCAACCTATTATAAAACACGTCTTCGATAGTAGCGTACAACAGTGGTGGAGGAACCCTCTCCGGCACCCGGGGCGGTGCAGCCTGTACGGACTGCGCATGTGCGGCATCCTGCGTGTGCACACTCCGTACAGAATGCCGCTTGCATGATGACTATACAGGCTGCTGCACGAGCGGCATCTCGTACGGACTATGCACGCGTGGCAGCCCGTATGGATTGCGGGTGCCCACGGCCGCTCTACAGCTGGGGGGAGGCAGGGGCTATCTTGTCACCCCTGCCAGAGTGGCACCCGGGGTGAACCGCCCCCTACGCCACTGCCTGTAGCTGCTATGGCAGGACAACAACAAAAACAACATACCCTGCTCATCTGGCTGGGTTTCCCCAGCCACTCTGGGTGCCTCCCAACAGAATATTAATAATAACAACAACAAAAGAGCAATAAAACATCAAACATTATAAACTTCTCTAAACAGGGCTGCCTTCAGATGTCTTCTAAAAGTCAGATAGTTGTTTATTTCCTTGACATATGATGTGAGGGCGTTCCACAGGGTGGGCACTACTACCGAGAAGGCCCTCTGCCTGGTTCCCTGTAACTTGGCTTCTTGCAGTGAGGGAACCGCCAGAAGGCCCTCGGAGCTGGACCTCAGTGTCTGGGCAGAACATTGGGGGTGGAGACACTCCCTCAGGTATACTGGGCCGAGGCTTACACAGAAGACCCTGCGAAATGCAAAAGCCACATGCTAACAGGACTCTATCTGTGCAACAAGGGACAGCAGTTGTCATGAGGGTCTGATTGGGGAGGAGTGGCTCTTTAGTCAGCATTCTCACATGGTAGATTGCCCATGCCAAAATTTCCTGCTGATAGACCCAATTGTCTTGATTTTTGACCACAGTGAAAAAGTCATCCATATTAAACTATAGGGTTACTCCTGAGGCTGCATCTTGAATTTCCAGATTTTGATTTAGAAATATTTTTTATTTACTCAGTGCAGTTATTAATCGCCCAAAAGCTTCTGTTCTCTGGGCATCCTAGAAGAAGTCTCAAATGAAATAAAGATTACTGACTAACACACCACACAACAGGCAGCAATACTACAAGCCTCAAAATTCCTGGGCATAAAACAAACCTGTCAAAAGACAGCAAAACTGGATTGCAAACATCAGATTGTAAAAAAAAACACCAGGACTTTCATGCAATTGACAATGTAGTCAATATTATCACCTTCAGTCTGACCCTTAGTCCTCACAAATCGAAGTTTGTGTCTGCCTTCAGCATAGAGCTTCTGCCTTGCAGTTCCGCTGACATGGGATGCAATATGTCAACTGTTGTTAATGGTGCAATATGTCAACTGTAAAAGTTACTTATCATGTCCTAGTCTGAATCTGACCTTTCTGTTACCAAGACCACAAACCTACAGTACCTTCCTAAAGGAAGCAAAAGTGTGCGCTACTTATAACAACTGGATTCTCTCCCCCTCCATTAGTTATGCAATTGTGCCAATTTCACAGCGAACTTTATATAAACATGCAATTTTTGGTTAGGGTTTTAATGTTTTGGAGTTATCAGAAGTAATGTTCCGTGGCTTCTGCCAGGAGGGCAGAAAAGGGCCATTTAATTTTTGACACAACTATTACCTCTTACAACTGATCCACTGCAGTTCTGTCAGAGATAGCCTAAGTGTTTATTTTATGAAGCTAGGCAAGCGTTAGATGCCAGAAGAAATATTTTCTACTTATATCCTCGGCTCTACCTCTATGTTTTGTGCCTGCTTGGAAAACCTATTTACCTAAAATATTCATTATATATTTTGGCTACTCACAGGGCCCCCAAGGCAGGTTTGGGTTAGTTAAAAATTTATTTGTTTTGCAGATTTATAAACCCCCTTCACAGCTCAAAGCTACGAAAGTGGTGTGCAATAAGTTAAAAAAGCAAAAGATGAGGGCTCAGTAAACTAAAAGCAGTAAAACAATTTCTACAATTCAATTCAGTAAAATGAATGGGTCACACTTCAGGTAAAGCCTTCTTCAAAAAACACAACTTCAGTGGCTATCTGAATATCAAGATAGTTTGTTCTTGACTACTGCTCTATTCTGAACTTAAAAATGGAAAGTGTAATGCTGGTGGGTCAACAAAAGAGGTTTAAAGACTCTCTCAAGGCAATTCTAAAAAAAAAAAAGTAGTATAAACACTGACAACTGGGAAACACTTGTCTACGAAGGCTCCAATTGGAAAACAGCCTTTACCAAAGGTGTCATGGGCTTTGAAGACACTCGAACACAGGACGAAAGGGAGAAACGTGCTAAGAGGAAGAAACACTTGGCAAACCTTCACTGTGATCAACTCCCACCCGGAAACCTGTGTCCCCACTGTGGCAGGATGTGTGGACCCAGAATTGGCCTCCACAGTCACTTACGGACTCACTGTTGAGACCGTGTTTAGGGAATACTATCTTACTCAGCTACGAGTGATTGCAAAAGAAGAAGGAAGAATACCAAGATGCTAGGTGCTCGTGTAATTCCAATTGGTATCAAATTCAAGAGGGCTGAAGCTGCAACAATTAAAGCCTGGTTTCTAGTACAAACCGCCTTCAGACTATTGGGTCCATCTAGCTTGGCTTGGCATTGTCTGCAGATTTCAGACAGGGCACATTCCCAAGGCTACCTGAAGATGCTGGGGTTTGAACCTGGGATGTTGTGTGTGCAAAGCAGTAGCTCTACCACTTGGTGAACTTCATCCATAGGATTTTGCAGCTGGCAAGCGCTGGAACATGGGAGCCCTGTTAGAGCCTGCTCCGTATAATACAGTGCCAGGGGTTGCCTTTATCATCCTGAGTTAGATGATAACAGTCAATGTTAGCAACAACTTTCCAGGATTTCAGACAGGGGCACTTTCTGTCCTTTTCCAGGGATGGAAATCTGGGACCTTCAGTGTGCAACAAGTGTGAGATGTCTGTAGCCTTATTGGAGTTCACCGATTGGGTCTGCGTTGCTCCCAGGCAGGAGGAAGGAAGTCAAATGACACCGCGGGTTGGTTCAGAGAAAGAGTTATTTATTTCTGATCTCCTGAACAACAGAAAAGCATCTTCGTGGTTTGTCCACAGCAAGTCCAAAGAAATGAGAAATTTCATGCAGTATATATATCCTCCAGGCACCCTCTCCCTCCTTCCCCAGGAATCCAACCACGTCAGCCTATACACGCAGGTTGACATCACATATGTTCCTGCTCCAGTATTCTTAACCATAAAAGGGTATTCCTTCCTGTACTTCTGACCATAAAAGGGTATTCCTGTTCCTACTCTTATCTTGGACCAAGAGGTCACCAACTCCAAGAACACACTCTGGCGCTGTTCCCAGATTAGGTCTGTGCGTCAGGATGTAAGATAAGACCAAGACATGTCATCCCTACTCCACTGAAACAGCCAGGGTCATCCTTGCCGTCACGAACTGATAAAGGAGAGGGCTCTGAGCACTTGTTTATACAGCCGGATTTTTGTTTATACATTGACTCAGAGCTCAAGTTAATGGATTTTAGCTAAGGAAAAATAGGGATTTTGGTGCCCGTTTCAAACTGCCTGCACAGTCAGTTTTGGGTTTGGGAAACCCATTCCTTCAACTCAGTTAATGCTCCTCCCTGGAGCTGAGCAACTGGGTATCTAATTCAGCTTACCTAAGTGACTCCCCTGAGATGCTAGGCTAAGTATTCTCCAAAGGACCCTAGGGGGCATCACATCACTAAAGCCAATTAATAATTTTCAAGCCTTTTATCATGCAAATTTAGACAGTAAGTGCACTTGGAAACAAGGAAGAGAATGTTATTATGTAGGAAAGAAATGAAG